AGATACCAAACCAGTCTTTATCAACGCTACTTCCTCCCAACATAGGGATTTTACTCTACAAGCGACCCTTTGCGAGACTGTCAATATTCCACCATACTCTGAATTGGAAACTCTATCATCAGTGAATGATTTCTCATCTCAAATTTGTGACTGGCTATTGGAAGATTCTTTATCGGGGTCCAAGCGCATCAATGCTACCACTGCTCGTGCCGTTATCACACCAAACTCCCATGTGGTAGTTCATCTCATTAATCCCACAGACACACCCGTTACTATTTATAAGGGTACTCGTGCAGCCAGTATCACAAAGTTGCCACAGGTTTATTTATGTGGAGTATCTCAGAGTACTGCTATACCACAGAATAAGAAGGATGTGTTATGGGGTATTGCTTCTAATGTAACCACATTGTCTGATACTGAGAGAGAGCAGTTTTATGCTTTACTTACTTTATTTGCTGACGTATTTCCTATTAATAAAGACGATCTCGGTCGTACTGGACTCCTCCAACACTTAATTGATACAGGCTCAGCTCCACCAATCAAACAACCTCCTAGGCGTGTCCCTCAGCACAAGCAGCAGGAGGCTCAATGGCTCCTACAGGAGATGTTAGATAAAAATATTATCTCAAGATCTCATAGCCCATGGTCTTCTCCAATTATACTTGTTCAAACGAAGGATGGTTCCTTACGATTTTGTGTGGACTACCGTAGGATCGATGAAGTCACTAGGAAGGATGCCTATCCCCTTCCTCGCGTTGATGAGACTCTAGATACTTTGTCTGGGTCATCCTGGTTTACCACACTAGATCTCCTTAGTGGTTATTGGCAAATGGAGGTGGCAGAGCAAGATCGAGATAAGACAGCTTTCTGTACATGTGAGGGCCTATTTCATTTTTAATGTTATGCCGTTTGGCCTTTGCAATGCACCTGCTACTTTCCAACAACTAATGGATTTGATGTTAGCTGGATTTCTGTGGGAGTCATGTCTGGTATATATAGATTATGTCATTATTATGGGTAATGATTTTCAGTCCCACCTGAGAAACATAGCAGCAGTATTGACTCGTTTGCTTAATGCTGGCCTTAAGGTGAACCCTGCTAAATGTCAGTTTTTTAAAGAAGAAGTCACTTTCCTGGGTTATATTGTTTCCAACCATAGTATATCTCCTGATCCTAATAAGACAAATAAAATAGCAGCATGGCCCACCCCTTCCTCCCAACAGCAACTTCAGCAATTCTTGGTATTGCTAGCTACTACAGACGGTTCATTTGGGATATTGCCTGCATTAGCAGACCACTTCACCAACTCACAGAGAAAAAAACCCCTTTTCACTGGACAAAGGAGTGTGACAGTGCTTTCAACCGTTTGAAGCAACTATTAATTTCTACTCCTGTTCTAGCCTATCCAAACTTTTCCAAGGAATTCATTCTAGACACGGACACTACCCTCTTAAGACATTTAGCGATTTTACGTTAATGCTCCCCCACGTTACATAGAAAGCAACCAACATAAACAGCTCGATGGCAGAATCCGCAGCTACTACTGTAATGATGGCAATCGCCCATATCACCCCCGTCATGTCATCGAATGCCAATGTAATCAATACCATTAACAACACTACACCCATTCCATTGACATTAACATTATTATAAAGCTGTTTCTATTCAATATCACCCTGAGCACTCCTATTACAAATATAAGTATTGCCCCTATATATATTACACTCATGATTACCTGGGAGGAATCAAACCCCATACTCCATTCCGAAGTCGGACATTTTTCCTTTAAATTACAGACAATACCGGTGGGTTCCTACCCGCTTTAACGAATTTCACCCTCGATATCTACACATTCAATTCCTCATATAGATCTGCCCAGTTTCCAAAATTAGTGACTCCTCCTATTTTGCAGCCTTCAGCTTCACCTAGGCCCGATGCCGTCTTAGTCTCAAATGTAGGAGGAGCTACCATCATTCTTACAATGGCCGGAACACCCTTGTGCCTGGCTTTTCCCTTTAGTTGCCTTCAGGGATTATCCTTCCCATCGTAGCTACCCTGCAAGCTCCCCTGACCACTGCCAAAGGCAATGGCGGGCTTGCTGCCGACAGGTACAGTAATTTGCAATATCTTTGCAACACTAAACTTACTTCCCTATATGGCAGTAGACTTAATTAAATCTAAAGCAGCCCCTCCCTAGTCCTAATCACGTGATATCAATATGGAGTCTGGCAGGCCATCATGGTCATTCTCTCCTGAGTTTTCTCCATCATTTTCACCAATTTTTTTACCAGAATTCTAGTCATCCTACTACTTTATGTCAGAGTCTACCTAATTCACTTCAACCTACTCAGGTGACAGAAGCTGTGCGACCACGGTACACTTACAATGTTCGCATCATTAATCCTAAAAAGAAGAGTGATTGTGTAGTGAGGATGTGGCTTAATGTGTCTGACGTTTTCCAATCTCCAAGTACACTAAAGGTGAGACTTCAAGAATCATTCCCTAATGATGTGCCAAAAGAACTTGACTTTCGTTGTGGGTATTTTCATGGCAACAGTAAGCAATGGATTTTTTGAGGAGAATGATTTGAAGACCATGTACAAGTTGTTTCCTTCTGGCTCTAATATAACAATTTGGTGTGATGCTCTTGTAGTTGATGTAGCCCAGCAATCATCAAAAAAGAGGAAGTGTGAAGGTGACTCATTGAATGATGAAATATTTAAGAATCTGAAGGATAAAAATCCTGAGATGACTAGTCCAAAGTTAAGATTATGGGCAAAGTTAATTGAACGTGGACACTATGACAGTTATGATCAACCACCAGACATTCCACTCATTGCTGGTGGACATAGCGACAAGAAAACTGTCCATCAATCATTATCACCAATGAAAAGTGCCCAATTGCGCCGTGCATATCTTGAAGATTTAAAGTCGTTGAAAAGTCTCAAGGATGATGGAGTACTTTCTGATGAAGTGTTTGTAGCTGAAAAAAAGAAAGTGCTTTCATCTCTTCAGTCTCTTACTTAGGCAAATTG